CATTGTGGGAAAATTCTACTACCAGTCCTTCATCACCTTACACGAAATAGGGTGAATACATCTCATAATTTTTTTTTCCAGAATTTACGGATGCCCTGATTAACCAATGGCCAATCTAGTCGGAATCCACTGTATAAATAAAGTTGTTAATATTCGTATTCTCTAACCTGTCCTGGAGTCTCCCTAAGTCGCATGAACAAAGTTTCCTTAATCAAGAAAATTAGCTTTGCCAAATTTTGCTGAATGCTGGATATGCTACACTTATCTAGCACATGATCTAAGAATTAATGTAGAGTCGAAATAGGATAAAATTAATATTCAAAGATATAAAGACCAAGATGGTGTGGCCTTTAGTGTGGTCGCAGTCTCCTTTCGTTGTATAGAAGTCGTTTTACCATGTTTTCGCAACTTGGTCATATTAGCAGAAAGACTTAGAGGAACGCACCTATTCCGGAGTCCATTGCATGCATGAACACTTCCAAAGTCGGACCGTGGACGTGGTACATTCCCAGACGTTTCGCCGGCATCGTCAGTAAGTCTTGCCAGTCTTAGCCCTATACTACAACTCGTCAAAAAGACAAATGAAGCAGATCCTTTGATGAAATGTGTGCTAAATAGTTGTGGTATCTCTCCCTCTGTCCTGGGCTAATCACGTCTATTTCCTCGTATCACGACTTCACTATTACAATTTTTCTTGCTTATTTAAATTTCGTGTGGTGTGTCTTCTTGAGCGGCTTTCATAAGAACCCTCCACACTCCACGCTGGCGTTCTCATCTCCATTCACCTTTGTGCTGGGAATGTTGATCAGAGTCTGCCATATTGTTACGCAGTCCTCCTTCCATAGATCTTATCGCAGTCTCCCTCTTGCCCTGTAGGATCCGTCTGCTATCTTCCTGGTTCAAGAATTTCGCTCGACCCTTGCCACCTCATCTGTGCTCCACGAGGCGTTACTTTCCACACTCTGCGTCTGCTAGACTTACTTGAGACTAAAGATCCCTAGTCATTCTCATGGTCAAACCATCGCTTCATGGATAACGTTTATGGTAAATCATTCCTACTGTCAGTCAACTAGTTCTAGTCTTCGCCGCGTCTATGAAGGAAAGATGAATAGCCCAGGATAGAAGGAGAGATACCACAACTGTTTAGCACACATTTTGTCAATGGATCGGCTTCACTTGTCTCTTTGACGAGTTGTAATATGGTATTAAGACTGGTAATACTCACTGACGATGCAGACCAAGTTGCGAAAACAAGGTCAAACAACTATAAAATTAATTTTGTTTAAAACAGTATGTTATACAGCCATATGGGGTTTGATTTATATCGAGGTGTACCCGTTTCAATTGGTTTTGGTGTTGCACTTATTGCGACTCTGCTCACGCTGAAGTAAAGCTAAAGACGTATATTTACACTGGATTTCACTTCGCCATGCACTAAAAAACCTCATTTTTATTCATCTTGAAGTACAGACTCGATTTCACCTTATTGTATCATCAGCATTTCCAACTGTCTTCGGACCATGGGAATACGAGTTACTAAGTCGCACGAACATAGCTTTATTGTGCGCTTCGGTTTATTCACTTCAAGCTCGCTACTAAATAAATTGTTGGTGACTTCGAATCCAGCGACTTATCAAGTTTTAATGGCAAACTTAAGATTGACCCTACGAATGGGAAATTTTCAAGAAATTGATATTATGCTTTGCTTAGCCCTGAACGTCATGTTTGCTGTAGAACACAATGAGAACAGGATCGTGTTGCCTCTTAATCTGGGAGGCCTCCTAGGTTAATATCTCCTTCTTTATGTAGACGAAGAGGTGAGTTCTTAATTCTAATCCAGCCAGTATGTAAACCTTAATTTGGGAATTAGGTCAAAATTAATTTCAGTGCCTTATTTTTTATTCATCGCGAAAATGTGCATAACAAAAACCAGTGAAATGGTAAATCCCCTGCGTCACAGTTAATTTGTTTCACAAATTCTTTTAACCCTCTAATTCAGCGGCAGCTTTCTCACCCTCTCTCCCTCTCTCCTGCCTAAAGTTAATGCAATAGCACAAACATTGTCTTAGCAGATTCCACACTTGGCGGAGTAAACTTATATACATTAGAGTTGATCCATCCTTGCTATTGTCCTCTGGATAGAATATAAATTATGACTGGCCTTGCATGAGGATTTCTTGCGTATTAAGCCTGGTTACAAGACCATAAGGAATGCTTTTTGGGTACCTGGTTGTCTGATTCCATAACTCTTTCAAATTTCCTTCATATCCTCCATTCGTAAACATGACTTTCCATCAAGTTTCTTGGACGGCTATTCAACGTTAAAATCAACCTAAGGTTTCTGATTCTATATTTTAGCATTGCCTCCCGATAGATAGGCTTCTATTTAGCTCGATTGCATGTTTTAAACTCCTTCGTTATTATTTCTATTAATATTGTTATATTTTCAATACTGGAAATCGTTCGATATAAACACGATTTTTTTTAGACAATGTGTGTAAATAAGAACAAATTCATCCATGTGTTGTGATATTGCCCTTTGTTAATTACCGCATATTAATGCTGTAGCCTATTCTTTACTTTTGCTTCACCAGGCGCTTGAAGCTCTTCAGCCCACTCCAGAGCGCGAAGCCCTACATGCCCGCATTTCAGCCCTAATGCAAAAGCACTTGGCTAAATCCTGTGAAGGTAAGATCAGAATTGGAGTCTCGAGCACAGAGGATGAGGCGATCATGTCGAAGTCTTCGCTTTTCGAAGAGACGTTTCCGTGCTCTCTGTCACTGCACACCCTGACCGCTGCTTTGGCTGATCCGGATCAGGCTGAGGAGGCCAAAGAAGTGTTGGAGCTGATAGAACGGTAACCAATGCTCGGGAGACGCCCAAAACAATTCAAAAACACTGACGTATCGGGGTTTAGCGCTCACCTTGGGCTTCAGTGGCGTTTGACTATTTCTTGTGAGACCGAGTTGCCATCGCCGTGTTTAACCCTAATCTTTATTTTGGCCTACATCTGAGGGCTATTGATGTGAGATTTAACGAGAAGATTTGTCTACAGAAGGTCTTCTGATAAAATTATATCTGGGATTATACATTTAATAGCCAGCAAATGAAGAATTCAACTCAGCTTTCGGTAGGTAGCTAGATTGATAGTCTTTTAAAGCAGCTAGTAAGTGACGATCATCTTTGGAATCAGGCTCGTTCGTAGACGTTAATATTATATATCCTCCTTGCTCTAGAACATGGTTAAAATGTAACTTTGCTTTATGTCGAAGAGTGGTCAATTTCCGGAATTAAGTTAACACTTATTTCGAGTGATACTAGTTTGGATAGATCACGATGTAAGCCCCATAAGGAGAGGAAAACTGTAGGAAAGGAAACCGAGCTATGTGAACTTCAATGGAAGCGTCATTTGCACTTATATCAGAGTGGAAAAATTCAATTACCAGTCCTTAATTACCTTAAAGGAAATATGGTGAATACATTTCATTAGTTTTAACTTTTTATCACGAATTGGTCAAGTTTTCAGGTTTGGAATAACACACACTATATCGAATCCTCTGCATTTCTAGCTATATCCTTTTCCATTTGTCAGTTACCTACAGAAGGAATTTTGCGACGTAGGTTCACTTAAGTAAAGCAGTGAAACTGAGGCGGCACCTTACTTTCTTTTATACTTATTTCCCCATCATTCAACAACATCGGTCTCACTTAAAAGTTTACACTTTCTTGACTTAGTATTTTCATTG